CGACTTCCTTTTTGAGTTCTTCTAGCAAGGCTTGGTCACTAGCCGACACGCTGGAAGCTGAAAAGAGGTCACATGCGGCAAGTAAAAGCTTGACGAGGCGTCGAACCTCTACGAGAGAAGTTTGTTCCCTCATAAGCCCGAATTTGTTACGAAAACAAGCTCAAACATTCTGACACTTTATCCTTTACTTGAAGATTTCAATCCTCTTTGCTTCGTTATATTGTTTATTATAGGTATCGATTCTTACATAAATCCTCTGCTCAAATTGCACTCCTAATTAATGAAAGAATCCCAGGATAAACTCAGTCCGAAGCATAGTTTTGAAAAAAAGACGGCTGTTTAGCACATGACTAATCCATACTAGTTGAAGCAGCTATGATGTCAATCTAACTGCTGCTTATCAAGTTCACCGAGATCATATACAACAGCAGTTGCAACAAAACCAAATCGGAACGCTAAAAGCTTCATATTTTCTCTCCTATAATTACACTAGTTACTTACCATGTGATTCAGATTTAACCCGTAACTCATGCATCTTCAACAACATCTGTTTCCGTTCATTGATCAGGAACAAAACCATCGTTTTATGTCGTTCTTTTTCCGCTTCCAATTTTCGTTCAATCCTCTCCGTTTCGGCTTTGCTCTCCGCCACTTCATTGATTTGAATTTCCAACTGGAATTTGGATTCAATAAATGTTGAATCTCTACAAAAATTGATGCCAAAAAGCTATTTCAGATCTTCAAAGAAGAGGCAGGAATACAGAAAACATCTTCAGTGCCCACATGATTTCTTAATTGTTACGTTTCCTCAACCAATACAGAATAGCATGGCCAAATTTGAAAATTATTATGATAAAAATCCCGTGCTGCGCACCTGAACATTGAAATGCAAACTAAATGCCGAACCCAATCACACTGATTATGATAACACAAAACAAAGAACATTTTAGGGCACAAGCAACTCACACACTCCCTACCAAAAGACCAGGATACTCATAATCGCAAAAGGAGCATCGCCTACAACTTTGGCCACACTCACGTTTAGAAAGAGTGTACACTTCCTCGTCGGTAGTTCATATCATAATGGTACCTAAGCATACCTTGGCAGGCACTTTCAATATTAATTTACCTGCTGGGTGAGTTTCTCTCGTTCCTTTTCAAGCAAAGCAAGCACATCATCCCCTTGAGCTGCGTAGCGGCTTTTGCGTTCTTTTTCAAGCTCTAATTCCCTCAACGCTTTGTAGTGACGTTTCTCGGCAGCAGCCAGCAACTAAACCAGACTA